AAGAAAGAAAGAGGTCACAGGCTCAGCCTCCGCTCGCAGTGCCGCGCCCCACCCCTTGGGGCGAGGTAGCCCCGCCCACTCGCGCGGCCTTCTGGGAAATGTAGTCTTTGAAGCAAAACCAAAGTCCCTCGACTGGCGGACAAGCGCTCAAGGCATGCGCAGAGGCGCACATGAAGCTAAAAGGGAAGTAGCGGTGCCTGTCAACAACCGGAACCCCAAAAACCGCAAGTTTTGGGTAGCCGGGAAATTCAACACCCAATGGGGGAAGGGACCCCGGAGCCACGCCAACTCCCGTGTTTTGACCCGGAAGTGGCTTCTTTTTACCGAAAAGACTATATTTCCCGACGTGCCCCAGGAAAGAGCCCCAGGTCAGTTTCCGAAAGGCCAGAGTTAAATCTTCTTCCAGCTTTTGGGTCACGGAGTGGGCAGGTCGTCTTACTCGGCCGGGTGTCCCGGGCGCGGGCGGGTGGGAAAGCCGTAAGGAACTCCAACTTGGGATTTCTAAGCTTAACTCCGACCTTGGACAGGAAAGGAGACCCGGGTTGAGGTAAACTCACATATTCAAAGCTACAGCGGGCAAGTGGCGGGGCAATTGCAGCTGGTCCCTTGTGAGAGGAAGGTTGTCCTTCCTCACCCGACTGTCACTCATCTGCGAGTTACCCCCTCATTTAAGGCATGCCTTTTCGTTCCTTGTGGCATTTTTGGAGTCAGGGGAGACCTAACCTTTAAATTTTTGAGCAAAGCACTAACCTAAAACTCCCTGGCACATAGTAGTGTAAACCCCAGTTTAAGATGACAAAAGCGGACGTGAGAGGTTAAAGTGAGTCGTCCGGATTGGACACCAGAACCCTTCATCTTTGGGGGGCGGCAGGGGGTACAATTTGACTTCATTAAGATTGTTTAGTCTGAATGAGTTCAAGGGGATTCTGAAGCTCCGTAATACTTTTTTTTTTTTTTTTAAGATTTTATTTATCCATTGAGATAGGGAGAGAGAGTAAGTGAGAGAAGGCATGAGAGGGGAGAAGGTCACAGGGAGATGCAGACTCTCCAGGGAGCTGGGAGCCCTATGCGGGACTTGATCCTGGGACTCGATCCCGGCACTCCAGAGGATCATGGCCTGAGCCGAAGGCAGTTGCTCAACCAACTGAGCCACCCAGGCACCCACTAATAGAGTTTTAAGTTAGTTCCTGTGAGTTACACACACGCACAGTAAGCTCTTTAGCTTAGTCCATAGAAGTTTAAATTGAGCCACAAATGCGAGTCATATATGTAATTTCAAACTGCCTAGTAACTACATTTTAAAAGGTGAGGTTAAAAAAAACAGATAAATCTTAGTGATTTTTATTTAACCCAATATATCCAAAATATTATTTCAACATATACTTAATGCAAGAAATTGAGATAGTTCCCCCTTTCAGTTAATAAGTCTTTGAAGTCTGGTGTGTCTTTCATACTTACAGCACATCTCAGTTCAGACATAGCTTTAGACTATGTCCCTTAAGGCAAATCCACAGGCCACTTAAGACTAAAGATTTCTGGGGTGCCTGGGTGGCTTGGTGGGTTGAGCCTCTGCCTTTGGCCCAGGTCATGATTCTGGGGTCCTGGGATCGAGCCCCGCGTCTGGCTCTCTGCTCAGCAGGGAGCCTGCTTCCCTTCCTCTCTCTCTGCCTGCCTCTCTGCCTACTTGTGATTTCTGTCTGTCAAATAAATGAATAAAAGCTTAAAAAAAAAAAGGCTAAGGATTTCTGGGGGCGCCTGGGTAGTTCAGTGGATCAAAGCCTCTGCCTTCAGCTCAGGTCATGATCCCAGGATCCTGGGATAGAGCTCCACATTGGGCTCTCTGCTTAGCAGGGAGCCTGCTTCCCCATCTCTCTCTGCCTGCCTCTCTGCCTACTTGTGATCTCTGTCTTTCAAACAAACAAATAAATAAAATCTTTAAAAAAAAAAAAAGATTAATGATTTCTGGCACATGGTGGCAGTACTCAGAGAAGAAGGAAACAGGTTTGATGTCCTGAATCCTGTTGCTTTTGAACTATCTATAACGGTGATTCTCCACCTTTAGCATGGAATCGCGTGGAGGGTCTAATTTTAAAGTCTGGGTTGGGGGCCCAGAATGTGAGAAGTTCCCAAGCCATCCAGAGGCTGCTGGTCCAAACGCTACAGTTTGAGAACTGCTAGCCTACATCTACCTACATGATGGTTCTCACACTTGGCTCCATGTGGGAAACACCTGTAGAGCTTTAAAAAATACTGAAGCCGGGGCACCTGGGTGGCTCAGTAGGTTAAGCCTCTGCCTTCGGCCAGGGTTATGATCTCAGGGTCCTGGGATCGAGCCCCACATCGGGCTCTCTGCTCAGCAAGAAGCCTGCTTCCCCCTCTCTCTCTGCCTGCCTCTCTGCCTACTTGTGATCTCTCTCTCTGTCAAATAAATATTAAAAAAAAAAAAATACTGAAGCCAAGCTGCCCCTCAGATTCTGATTTGCTTGGTGTAAGGGTGCCTCAGCGGAGTCAGGGCAGGGAAGGTGGAGAACCCAGGTCCACACTTAAGTAGTGCTGTCAACTCTACAGGCTTAGATCTTAGCAACCCTGCTGGGAATTAAGAATCTGCTCTGGGGGCGCCTGGGTGGCCCCTGCATCCTGGGATCTAGCCCCATATTGCGCTCCCTGCTAAGGTGGGGAGCCTGCTTCTCCCTCTCCAGCTCCCCTGTGCTTGTGTTTCCTCTCTCGCTCTTTCTGTCATAAATAAATAAAGTCTTTTTTTAAAGATTTTATTTGACAGAAAGATCACAAGTAGGCAGAAAGGCAGGCATAGAGAGAAGGGGAAGCAGGCTCCTCACCGAGCAGAGAGCCTGATGTGGGGCTCGATCCCAGGACCCTGAGATCATGACCCCCTGAGCCACTCAGGCACCCCAATAAATAAAATCTTTAAAAAAAAAATCTGCTCTGTTTCCATCTACCCCCTTGGCAGTGCTGGATCTTTGCTTTCTCAGCAGAGTCACCATCAAGTACGTGCTCAGTGTGCTGATGCCGGAATCAGGTGGTTCCTTTTTGGACTGAGCTTCTCGTGGGGTCCAATGCTGTGTGAGCATTCTTTCATTCTTAATGAGCTACTTGTCCTCCCTATGGAGAATCAAGCCTGTTGCTAGACCCAGGGCATACATAGTTGGACAAATCCAAGAGTTGAAACAGTGATTCTAAAACATTCCTGGGTCTTTTCTTGGTCTTAGGGCTGCCCTAAGAAGCCGGTACCCTAAAACCAAAGAATAAAAGTGCACAGATACAGTTATTCAAGTTAGGGTGTTCACAGACTCTCTTGAACTCCATCAAAGGGGGACTTGAACCTCTCAGCTTAGGAGAGAAATTAAGAAGGGCTTGCCAATTGAGAGCTGCAAGCTCTACGGCAAACAGCCGCTGCTTACTGCATCTCCTGTCCCCCCCCCACCCCCCATTTAAAAAGTTTTCTAGTTATTTTTTTAATATTTTATTTATTTATTTGAGAGAAAGAAAGCGCAAGCAGGGGGAGTTACAGAGGGAGAAGCAGGCTGCCAGCTGAGCCTGGGATCATGACCTGAGCCACCCAAGTGCCCCAAAAGTCACATTTAAATAAAGTTCAGTAGATTTCTCTTTTATTTTTTTTTTAAAGATTTTATTTATTTGACAGAGACAGCGAGAGAGGGCATACAAGCAGGGGGAGTGGGAGAGGGAGAAGCAGGCACCCCGCCCAGCAGGGAGCCAGAGGCAGCCAGATCACAGGACCCTGGGATCATGACCCCAGCCGAAGCAGACGGTTAATGACTGAGCCACGCAGGTGGCCCTCTCTTTTATTTTTCTAAAGATTTTATTTATTTGAGAGAGAGTGAATGCACAAGCGGGGGGGGGGGGGCAGGGGCAGAAGCAGACTCCCCTGCCAAGGGGGGAGGCAGACATGGAGCTCCATCTCCAGATTGCAGATTATAACCTGAACCCAAGTCACATGCTTAACTGTCTGAGCCACCCTGACTCCCCTAGATTCCTCTTTTAAAGGCTTGGTTCCCTCCTCACTGCTCCCCGCTACTTTTTGGAAATCAGAAGCTCTGGTGCCACTGAGTTTACTCATTGGTAGTACTGTTGATATGGAGGAACACTTATCTGCCCGTTGAAACAAGGCATTTTACAGCACACCCCATTTCTCTCCTTAATATCTGTCTGGGATCTATAAGGCATGTGAAGTTTGCCATAGCTGGACAGATTATATATGGCCTTCTATACCCTGTTGAGAAGCTTGTACCTTCACCACCACCCCATTTTTTTGGGTAGCTGTTGTTTACGTCCTCGGGACAGGAACAACCTCTTATCACCTCTGTCTAGCCAGCGCCCAGCTCCGGGCATTCCGTTGGCACCAATAAATGTTGACGCTGTCTGGAAAAAGAGAGGGCTTGAGTTCATTCGTCCGAACGCCGCAGTTTGCGCATCCGCCGCCAGGGGGCACCAGGACCCGGCCCGGGCCTGAGGAGACCAGCAGCCCCAGAACTCGGCACTAAGGGGCACGTTGTGTATTCCGGCCCGCGCCTCCTGCAGCTTTCTCAGGACTTCCTCTGCCGGGCGCACTCCAGCCCCAGCCCAGACGAAGAGGACCCAGAGGAAAACAGCCTCAACTGCCCAGAAAGAAAGGGCTTTATTGGGGAGTGAGGATAGCCGAGGCGGAGACCCTGGTCCCCTAATTGCAAAGGCCGGAGGCACAGACCAGTTCGGTTTGCAGTTAGGCGGAGAAGGGCTTGACAGTTTCACTGGCGGTTTGAGAGTGGTAGTGTTCCCCAGTGGGGACTAACAGTTTTATAGAAGAGACTGGTCAGTTTCACAAAGTCAGGTTCAAGGAGGGCTGGTCGATTTCATCTTGTCCTGTGCAGACCCGCTGGCCTTCTTCCAGGCCTTCAGTGGATTCTGAGAGCACCTGGGCAGCCCTACCAGTTTCCTCTGATGTACATGTTACGTCTGGCAGGGGGTCCCAGCCTGCTGGAACATCAAGTCTTCTGCTCCTCCTGGGGAGAGGACGCCAGACGGAAGGCTGACTTTAAAGGACCCGCGCACCGCAGGAACGACACCCAGTCACAGCGTGGGGCGGTTTGGGCCCTGGGACTACCGCATCTTGGGCACTCCCGGGCCGTGCCCAGAACTTTGTGCCCTAGCCTAGAGTGAGTTTCCGAAGGGCGCGGGGGTGCATTTTTCCCTGGCCCAGCACCCTGGCGCCCAGGGTGAGGGGAGGGAAGAGCGACTAGCGCTTGAGGCAAGAGGAGAAAGGGGGTTCCCACCTGCTCCAAGCCGCTCTCAGATGTCTTTCTGCGCGGAGGCCAGATCACCGCCAGCTTTCCGTCGCCGCTGCTCGCTGCGGGGGAAGGGGCGCTCAGCGGGGGTTGCCCCTCCTGTCACCAGCTGGAGGCGGCCAGGACCAAGGAGGCCGGCCGCGCCCCTTAAACACACAGGCGTTTACCCTCCTTCCCATGGAAACCTCCATTCTGAAGGAGGGAGCAACCTGAGGGAGGAGGGAGGCGAACCCAGAGTGCGGAAGTGGCTCCAGGAGTGCCAGAACCCAGGGGTTCCACGGAACCCGATAAAGACACCTAGAACCCCCCCCTCCCTTCCTCACCAAGAGCCTAGTGAGGTGGATTCGGGAGTCGACCATCCCGAGTACAGGGTGGAGCGCAGGGCGTCTGGGAGCCTGAGGGGGGTACCTTGAGGGCCAGAAGAGGGGCCACTGGAGTTGGGCAGTCGGTGAGGGCGGCTGGAGCCCTGACAGACCCCAGCGTCGGGGCGCGCGTGCTTACCCGTGAGGCTCGGCGCGGGCTCCTTGAACTCGGCGGTGCCGTAGACGCTGAGCCGCTGGCGCTGCAGCTCCCGCTCGCGCTCAAGCACCTCGCGCACCTCCTGCTCCAGCAGCGACGGCGCGACCCGCGGCGGGGCGCGGGCCAGCACCGGGCACCGACCCTGCACCGCCAAGCGCGGCCGGCCTCCGGCATCCGGCAGCCCCTGCAGGTCCGCGCCGCCTTCAGCCGCGGACAAGGAGCCACGTCCCCCAGCCGCCTCAAAGAATCGCCGTAGCTCACCCAACGGCTGCAGCGGCGGCTCGGCGCGCTGCTCTGGGGCTGCGGGGCTCGCTAGCGCCGCCTGACGGTGAGCCTCCCGCTCGATGTCTCGCTGCATCTGCGCGCCCGCCCGCGCGCGCTCCAAGGCGCGCGGGAGCGCGGGGCTGGGGCCGGGCAGGCTGAGCACCGGCCGCACGCGCAGCTCGACGAATTCTCGGCCTGCGCGGCGAGGGCTCAGGCCTCGGCTCCGGCGCAGGCTCTCCTCGCGTTCGCAGCTGCGGCGTATTTCTCGCTCAATGGGCGTCTCCATGAGCTGCTCCTCGGGGCCCTGGTGGGGGGCCTTCGGGAGCGGTAGAAAATGCTGCAGGGGACCTTCGGAGTCTGACCCCGGGGAGGAGATCTCGGGATCCTGAAGAGGACAGTGCTTCGGGGACCCCGCGCTTCGCGCTTCAGACGGCTCGGGGTCGTGGTTGCCGGACCGGAGACTCCCCAAACCCTCAGCTGCAGGCGGCCCTGGGCATTCTGCGTCCAGCCCCGCTGATGGACCAGGGACTTCGCTCTCTTGCTCAGGGATCTCCGCGCCCTGCTCTAAAGGGGGCACGGAGACCTTGCCTCCTGGCCTGTGGATTTCGGCGTCCTGCTCTGGGGCAGGCTCCGGACTTCGCTGTCTGACCCGGGGGCCTCGGGGCCCCGCTCTTCAGATGACCCCAGGGCTCCGGTCTCTGGCCCGGGGCCCTCGGTGTCCAGGGCTGGGAGCAGCTCGGAAGACTTAGTTTCCAGCGCCGGAGTTTTTATGCCCAGAGCTCGGACACAGTGCCCTGCGCGGCACCTGTGGCAATCACCGCCCGCGGGTTCCAAGGCGTCGCCTACAGCGGCCGTTTCTCTGACCTGTCGCTGGCCTCTAAGAACGGCCCCCCGGGGCAGGGTCGGGCACCGCCCTCTGCACCTGAAGGGAAGATTACGGCCCCGCCCTCGGGGCGGAAAGGGGCGGGGCTCGGCAGGGTACCGCCTTTCCTGCTCTGACGCGCCTCAGGTCAGTTCAGGGTACCAGACTTCTTGTAAAAGGGCTTACCTGGACTCGGCGGCAAGTCTGGGTGCCGTTCGACTCTCGGGGCGCCCCCGTGGCACCTCGTCGCTCGGCATTCCCAGGAGGTCTGACCCCAGCCGTGCCCCTGGTTGGGTCTTTGAGCCACTGGCCCTCTGGTGCAGGTGTCCTCCAAAGCCATCTTTCCGGGACCTTGCTAGCCCCGCCCAGGCCGGCGGGCAGCAACGCCCCTGGCCTCTGGGCTGTCCATCCACATTCTACCCCTGCAGTCTAGGGCTCAGACTGGAGGGGGCGCCAGGAGCCCTCTCATGGCGCGCCCCAGGCTCCCTCCCTGTTTCTGGGCTCAGCGAGGCCTCTTCAGAGAGGTGTGCCAAGGGCCGCGTCAGGCCCAGAGGCTGCTTTCCCCTCACCCCTCCTGGAAAAGTCCGCGAGGCGTCCGCGGCCAAGTGCACTTCCAGATTGAGGGAAGTGGGAGGGACGGACGCAACGCGCCCAGGGCTTAGCGGAGCAGCTGCGGTTGAAAGGCGGTCACCTTGGGCCCAGGCGGCTGGAAAGGCCCTGGAGAGGTATCTAAGCTTGCGGTATGGAGCAGCTCCCCGCCGCGGGGGCCAGATCTGTGGCGTTCAAGGGCAAGACCGACGTCCCCAAAGACATTTTCTACTCTCTTCCCCCAGGCCCTCTCCAAGTCTGTCCTCTGGCCCTACTTCACCATTCTGGGTTGACCAGGAAGAAAGAATAGTTACCTAGAGAATGAGGGGGGTGGGTGCTAAACAGCTTTGGGAACCTCCAACAATCCATATCTGATAACTCCTTCCCCCAGCTCTCTGCCTACTTTGGTGACTCCCCTCCTTCCCATCCTCTCCTACCCTCTCCCGGATCCTAGTCTCCAGTTCCTCCCTCTAACCCCGTTGGCCCAATTGGAATTGGGCCTACGTGGGTTCCATCCCACGCAAAACCTGAGCAAGGTACCAGCCTTCTCCAAGGCCCAGTTCTCTCGTCTGTAAAATGGGGAAAGCAGTACCTACTCCCTTGGGAGGTAATGAGGATTAAAGCTATACTTCTGGAAAGAGCTGTCTATAGTGTTCTTTCCTCTTCATCACTTCCTGTTCCTCTTTGGTGGTGCTAACAAGGCTCCTGGTCCCACCATCCCACTGAGCCTTTTCAGTCCAAGGACACTGATGGACTTCATTTGCTGGATCCAGTAACTGGTTCCTCCCTGACTTCCTTTCCACTAGCTCCTTGGTCTCCAAGGACACCATCTTCTCCTGGTTTCCCTCCTATCTCACAGGCATTTCTCTCTCTCTCTCTCTCTTTAAGGATTTGACTTATTTATTTGAGAAAGCGAGAGCACAAGCAGGGGAGCAGCAGCAGGCAGAGGGAGAAGCAGGCTCTCCGCTGATCTAGGAGGTCAATGCAGGACTAATCCAGGATCCTGGGATCATTACCTGAGCCAAAGGCAGACTCTTAACTGACTGAGCCACCCAGGTATCCCCTCCCAGGCATTTCTTCTCAGGCTTCTGTTGCACCTGCCTTACAGGTTTTCTTTCCCTCTGGTTTCCATGGAGTTGGCTGATGAGAGAGAGGGAAGTGCCTGAGTCCTTCCCCTTCTGGTAGCCACTCCACACAGCTCTGTCTCCAAAGCCAAGGCATGGAAACAGCCCCTGGCTGTTACTAACCCAGATTGCCTTCTTCGTTTCCTTTTCTTTTTTCTTTTTTTTTTTTTAAGTTTATTTATTTATTTAAGTAATCTCCACACCCACTGTGCGGCTCAAACTCAACCCCGAGATCAAGGGTCATGGGCTCCTCTGGCTGAGCCAATTAAGGGGGGGCCTCCCGACACCTTTATAACCCAACTCTTTACCAAGCTCTCATCAGTTACTTAGTGTGAGCACACGATATCTTTCCTCCCAGCACTCAACCCCTAACCAATCCCTACCTCATACTTTAAACGCCATCTCTGTGCAGGTGTCTCTCAAATTTATATCTCCATCTCTAACTTCTCCTCTGGGTTTTGGACTCCTCTCCAACACTCTTAGTGTAGTATGTGTCAAACTGAACACTTTTAAAAAACTGAACTCTCGGATCCCCCCAGGTCTCCTCACTATGTGTGGCAACTTACACAGTTTGTTTTTCATGACCCAAACCTGGGAATCTACCTCAACCTCTCTCAGCCCTGCTCCAATCCATCCATATGTTGGATTGCTGTTGGATCTGCAGGCTCTGCCCCCAAAACATATTCTGAATTTGTCCACTTCTCTCCACCCTTACTTATCCCAGCCACTTCAGCGTCCCTCCAATGGCTCCCCATCACACTCAGAAGAAAAATCCAAATTCTCTCCTCTGACCCAGAAGGCCCTGCCCACTTCTCAGATCTCATCTTCTGACACTCTCTCCCTCACTCTTCCATTCCAGCCTTTGTGCTTCCCTCAAACCTCCCCCCCACCAAGTGCACTCCTACCTCAGGGCCTTTGCACTTACTTGCCTTTTTCTCTGCTTGGAATGGCTCATCACATGGCCGGCTTCTGCTATGTGGGTCTCGACTCAAATATCACTTCTTTAGACAAATTGTCCCTGATCACCCAGCCTGCATCACACACAGCCCTTCTCCATAACCCTAACCCTGCTATTCTTTTTTTTTTTTTTTAATTATTTATTTGACAGACAGAGATCTCAAGTAGGGGGAGAGGCAGGTAGAGAGAGAGAGAGAGAGGAGGAAGCCGACTCCCTGCTGAGCAGAGAGCCCAATGCGGGGCTTGATCTCAGGACCCTGGGATCATGACCTGAGCTGAAGGCAGAGGCTTTAACCCATTGAGCCACCCAGGCGCCCCTAACCCTGCTACTCTATACTCACCTTATACAGCAATGATCATTAATTGCCTTTATTTGTATATTATCTCTCTCCTCCCCACCACCGAAAGTGAGTTGTCTTACAGCATTTTCTGTTTGGTCACCCCTAGACCCAACTACCCCATGCCTAGAACAGTGGCTGATACAAAACAGTTGCTTAAGAATTATTTAATGATACGCACAAGGTGTCTACCCCAGTGCTGGGAATAAAGAAACAAATCAGATTTGGAAGGTGCAGTTGAGTTTGGGAGACAGACACAATGGTAAATAGAACAATCTTGTTTCATTGTGGAATACGGGACAAGAATACAAAGGGAAGTCCACATACCATACATCTCAATATTTAACAGTTATAACATTAAATTACAAACAATTAAATGAAGTATATTCTCAGAGCACCTGAGTGGCGCGGTCAGTTGAACCTCCAACTCTTGATTTTGGCTCAGGTCATGATTTCAGAGTTGTGAGATCAAGCCCCACCTCGGCCTCTGTGCTCAGTGAGGAGACTGCTTGGGATTCTCTCTCCCTCCCCTCTGCCCCTCCCACTCGTGTGCATTCTCTCTCTCTCTCTCTCTCTCTCAAATAAATAAATAGATCTCTTTAAAAGATACATTCTCAGGGCGTCTGGGTGGCTCAGTGGGTTAAAGCCTCTGCCTTCGGCTCAGGTCAGATCCCAGGGTTCTGAGATCGAGCCCCGCATCGGGCTCTGCTCAGCCGGGAGCCTGCTTCCTCCTCTCTCTCTCTGCCTGCTTGTGATCTCTGACTATCAAATAAATAAATAAAATATTTTAAAAAAATAAAAAATAAAAGATACATTCTCGGGGCACCTGCGTGGCTTAGTCATTAAGCATCTACCTTTGGCTCAGGTCATGATCCCAGGGTCCTGGGATTGAGCCCCACATTGGGCTCCTTGCTCAGCGGGAAGCCTGCTTCTCTCCCTCTCCCACTCCCCCTGCTTGTATTCCCTCTCTCACTGTCTCTCTCTCTCTCTGTCAAATAAATAAATAAAATCTTTTTTTTTTTAAGATACATTCTCTCTTCCAAAAGGCAGAAACAACCCACATGTCAATCAACAAATGAATAGATAATATGGGGGGTAGCTCCCCAAAATGGAATATTATTCAGGGGTGCCTGACTCACTCAGTAGAGCATGTGATTATTTATTTATTTATTTATTTATTTATTTGTCAGAGAGAGGGAGAGCACAAGCAGGGGGAGAGGCAGACAGAGGGAGAAGCAGGCTCCTTGCCAAACAAGGAGCTGGATGTGGGACTCAATCCCAAGACCCTGGGATCTCGACCGAACCAAAGGCAGACGCCCAACGGACTGAGTCACCCAGGCGTCCCAAGCTTGCAACTCTTGATCTCAGGCTTGTGAGTTCAAGCCCTGTGTTGGGTGTAGAGATGACTTAAAAAAATAAAATCTTAAAGAAAAAAAGAGTATTATTCAGCCATAAAAGAATGAAACACTGACACATACTACATTGTGGATGGATCTTAAAAACATTATGCTGAGTTGGGGCACCTGGGTGGCTCAGTTGGTTGAGCATCTGCCTTCAGCTCAGGTCGTGATCCCAATCCTGTGTCCTGGGATTGAGTTCCACATTGGGCTTCCTGCTCAGCGGGAAGTCTGCTTCTCCCTCTCCCTCAGCCCCTCCCCCTGCTCCTGCTCTCTCTGGCTACCCCCCCCACTCAAATAAATCTTAAAAAAAAAAAAAAAAAGCATTGTGCTGAGTGAAAGAAATCAGACATACAAAATACCACACAGTATATGATTCCATTTATATGAAATGTCCAGAATAGGTAAATCTACGGGGACAGATTGGTGGTTGCCAGGGCATGGGGGAAGGGGAATCAGAAGAGACCGTGAATGGGCATGGGGTCTCCTTCCAGGATGATGGAGATGTTCTGGCCCCAGAAGGGATGACTGCACAGCACCGTGAGGGTACTAAATGCCACTAATGGTAAATTTCATATGTATTTTACCATAATTAAAAGCCAATTAAAAAAGTGTGTTCTCTCCTCCTATCATGGCAAATGTACTTTCAGAATGACTTAGAAGGCCAGGTTCAAATGAAAACATTTTGAATCCCTAGGAGTCTTGTACTAGATCATGGGGCGCCGGGAAACCCCAGCTCTCAGTCTGGCCCCCTTGACTTCATGCCTTCAACTCTCTTCTGCATAGCAAAGAGCTTTGTGCCTGCACCTGGGGACCCTGTGCACCCTGTCTAAGCTTGACCTTCACCCCTCTGCCAATGGCTGCCCTTGATGACTTGTCAGGCTGGAGGTAGGGGTAAGGTGCACCCTGGCTGCATGGACAGCATTCGAGAGGCAGAGGCCTTATTGATGAACTCAGGACCATCTGGACAGGGAATTCTGGGGTCTGAGTACCCCACGTAAGATGTAAAAGAGGGAGGGGAGAGTTAGGTAGACACATTCCCTTTGTCACATGGGGAAGGTCCAAGCTGGGGCAAGGTCCTTTCTCACTGAGGCTCATGTCAAATTGCACAGCAGAGGGGGGCACCTGGGTGGCTCAGTCAGTTAAGCATCTGCCTTGGGCTCCTGGGATCTTAAAAACATTATGCTGAGTTGGGACGCTTGGGTGGCTCAGTCGGTTGAGCATCTGCCTTCAGCTCAGGTCGTGATCCTAATCCTGTGTCCTGGGATTGAGTCCCACATTGGGCTCCCTGCTCAGCGGGAAGCCTGCTTCTCCCTCTCCCATGCCTCCTGCTTATATTCCCTCTCTCACTGTGTCCGCTGTGTCCGTCTCTGTCAAATAATTTAATAAAATCTTTTAAAAAGAAATTGTATCGCAGGACCAGGATTGCGATGGGGGAAGGACTGGGAAATGAGTCTGGAAAGTAGGAGATGATTTCCCCAAATGGAAAAGGGTAAATGAGGCATGCTGTTTCCTGAGAAACGGGGTGCTGGCCCTTTAAGAAGAGGATAGGTAGGGGCGCCTGGGTGGCTCAGTGGGTTAAGCCGCTGCCTTCCGCTTGGGTCATGATCCCAGGTCCTGGGTTTGAGCCCCACATCGGGCTTTCTGCTCAGCGGGGAGCCTGCTTCCTCCTCTCTCTCTGCCTGCCTCTCTGCTTACTTGTGATTTCTCTCTGTCAAATAAATAAATAAAATCTTAAAAAAAAAAAAAAAGAAGAGGATAGGTAAGATAGAACAGGAACCCTGAAGATTTGTGTAGGAAGTGTTCTGGACCTTTCTCACCACTGCTCTACCCCTAACTCTTATAACCCCTAAGGGGTGTCAGGGTCCTGGAGGCCACTTGGTCTAATTCTCCCATTTCACAAAGGGCAAACCACGTCCTAGAAACCTGGGGCAAGTCAACCACAGTTATCCAGGGGCCAGGCCTGCTGGTTCCCATAGTGCTCAGCCTCAGGTCTCCAGAAACCCTTAGCCGGATCAGTCCCTCCCTCCCCACCCCAGAGCCAGGGTCCAAGAAGGGGCGATTAGTCATTTATAAGAGTATCCCACATGTGTGATGTGCCACGTTGGTGACCCTTGGTGGGCAGCTGGACTTAAGGCATCTGGGGTGCCAGGGACAGTTGCCATCCTCTGGAGGGGTAAGTGACTCCCCATTCTCACCCACACCCTGCACCATGCATGTGAGAGGGTGTTTGCTACGAGCCAGCCAAGTGCAGCAAGGAGGCCAGTGGCTGGTAAATAATTTATCAGGACAGCTGATAGTACCTCCCCAGAACTGCCCGCCAGCCCCCAGCCCCCCTCACGCCTCGTGCTTGTGTTTCCTGCCTCCTGGCCCAAACCAGCTGGACCAGCTCTCCCAGTGCCCTCCTGCAGCCCCCCCTTCCCACCAGCCAAGTCACAGCATCCAGGGACCTTCAGGCAAACGGGTGGTGGGTCCTGCTCCTGGAGACCTGAAGGTGGGCTTCTGGGCAGAGATGGCCCTGCAGAGCCAGATGTGGTCTCCAGCCACACCCATGTAAGTGTCCGGGGTCGGGGGTGGGGGTGGCTGGTGGGCAGGGTCTGAGAGGGGTTCTCTGGAGGACACTGGCCTTTCCGGCGGGGTGGGGGGAGGTGAGAGCTCCAGCCTGGCCTCTCTAAGGGCCCTAGGGGGAATGGAGAGAGGCGGCCGAACCCGCAGGCTCTTCATGTCCCCCTCTGCAGAGAGTCATGTGGGAAATGTGGACCCCCACCTCCTTTTTTCAGAGATTTTCTGCAGGCAGTCTTCAAGCTCAAAGTCCAGCCTGAGGGTGGGGCTATCACTGAGGGGGACAGTGGCGGGAAATACCAGGGTCCCTCACTCCCATGTTCTGCCTTGAGAAACATCCCTCAGTGTCCTGGGTGGGAAGAATTGCTTGAGATATAACAGAAAAAGTTAACAGCTCCTAAACTGGGAAAGATGATGGCAAAATCGGAACCTTAGTTCCTTAGTGAAATGGCCACCAGCTGTTCCTGGTGACAAAAAGCCACGGCCACAAACACTGTTCTTGTAGAGTTGGAGATAAACACTATCAAACGGGGTGCGCAGAGGATTTTAATATCCAAGGTTTGAGGGCATTTTAAAGTAAGAGGGGGGAGGGGCTCCAGAGGTTTGTAAAGAGTTCTGGGTAAGCGTTTCCCCCCAGGGACCCCAATTTGGTTGCTCACTCTTTTGGGTCCCCCCGTTGCATTATTCACCAACTACAAACCTGGTTGCTTAGCAATGGGAACCCGATCTCCACACACCTCCCCCCCCAGCAAGGAAGAGGCAGGGAGATTACATCTTGGGAATGGGACAGCAGAGGAGGGAAGTTTAGCCCTCCCCCAAGGGCAAACTTATTAGCAGGAGGCCTGGGCTCCCTTTGGGATACCCTATTAAGCATGACATTAGCCCCCTAGGTCAACTGAAATCGGGAACCCCCAGGCTGATCTCTGGCCTCGTGGCTGCCAAGAAGAGGGTGCCTAGACCCCTCTCAGGGTGGGGTGTCAGGCCCCTGAGTTCTGATCGCCTGACTCAGTGATCTTAGATGAGTCTTTTCACCACTTCTTGGAGCCTCAGTTTCCCCATCCATAAAATAGGGACAATGGTACTATTGCCTCCCAGGATCACTGGGAAGATTAAATGAATTGCTAGAGGCAAAGCATTTAGCAGCACCTGGCACACCGTACGTGCTGGCTAATCATGGTTGGCTGGTTTTATTCTCAGAATAGCAACTCAGCGAAGAGTGGACTAGTGTCTCAAGATCAGGACAGGGAGGGAGAGGCAGAGGTGACTGTGGGAGTCTATCAGAAACCCTCTAGAGCCCTTAGAGCACTATAGGTAGTAAGCCCTGCATTGTTATGTCTTCATGGTGTGGCCAGGGAGGATTTGGGAGGCCCCAGCAGAGTTTGGGCAATGCGGCTAATGCTCACCCAACAGAGTTAGTGCTCAAATTAATAAATGTTTGAGGGCTTGTCCTGTGCCATCCTCCCAGGGCTAAATATCAGGGACACCAGGTAAATAGATAGATCCTTCCAGATATTGTCCCGTGAAGCCCATTCACACGGCAGGCACTTAACGCACATCTGTGTATAGGTTCATGTGACAACGACTGTCCCACAGGAGGGGTGGCTCTGTAGGCTGGGAAGCAGGAATCGTGGGGTTCTGCATGGAGGTCAGTGATGGGGTGAGCTCAGGTTAAACCTTAAATACCAAGACCCCTCTGCCTCCTCCCAGCTCAGAGTCCAATGCTAGGCTACATGACCTGGTAACCTTTGCTCCCAGGGAGGGGAGTTGGCAGGTAGCTCCAGAGTTACCATGGCAATGGCATGTGTCCACCTTGGGATGGACACTTTTCTCCCCAGATTCCCTCATCCCCCAGGGCTGAAGGTATCTTGGGTAGGAGCCGAGAGGTCTGGGGAGGGTGTGGAATTGGAAAGAGACACACAGCATGTTAGGGGCCTGGCAGGATTTGAGTGTCTGTAAGACAGCCTGGGACTGGTTCTTATAATTAATCATAAACATTATTAATCACGGGAATTACTAACATTATTAATAATAAATGACACTACTGTTTTTGGAACCCTATGTCCTGTTTTTTCCTGCATGGATATTTCCTTGCAAGGGCACCTCTCTGCAAGGTGAGAATCAAGCTATCCCAGCCTATTTTACAGATGAGGAAACTGAGGCTCAGAGAGGAGATGTCAGGCCTAGGAAGAGCGTTAGCTTAACTTGTCATGGTCTCTGCTCTCCCCCCACCCTCCAAAGAACCCCTGAGCTCTCCCCCAACGCCTTTCAGTTGCAAAGGGGAAATAGAGGAAAATGCCGGGCTTCGGGGCTTCGGTTGGTTTCCAAGCAGCTCAGGGATCTTGGCTCAGAGAGGGGCATTCAGGAGGTGGCCATGCGGGCCTGGCCCTGGGAGACCCCCTCCACAGTCTCTGCCTTTTCCCCACAGGCCCATGGCCGAGAGCTCCCTCTACCGGCAGCGGCTAGAGGTCATCGCTGTAAGTGAAGCCCTCCTACCGCACTCCACCCGGCGTCCTGGGCCCTCCTACTCTTGTCCCAGGTCTCTTCCTCAACTCTCTCAATCCCAGAAGCAGGCTTGACGCTGTGAAGTGTGTGTACGTGGCGGGGGAGGGCGGGAAGGCACCCTCAGCTCCAGCCCTGCCCAGGGCACCCCACCTAAATCCTCAGGCCCCTCTGCTCCCTAGTTCGTCTATCTGGCCACCACCACCCCCAGAATGGTGAGGCTGTGTACCCCACACTCCCAGAATCCACATCCGATGCTCCATTTTGAACCCCTGTCTCCCAAACACCTGTCTGAACCCCATCTCTTAGACCCTCATCTCTGGATCCTCATCTCTCTAGATCCCATCCCTGTGAACCCCCATCTTATTAATCCCTATGTCTCTGATCTCCCCCTTCTGCACCTCATCTTTCTGGACCCCATCTCTACACCCCGGTCTCTCTGAACCCCCATCCTTCTGACACCCATATCTGTACCCCATCCTTCTGAACCCCCATCCCACTAACTCCCATCTCTCAGCCCTCGATTTCTGCATTTCCATCTCTCCGGACACCATCTCTACGCCCCAGTCTCTCTGGACACTCACGACGGCACCTCTCCGGACCCCCCATCGCACTAATCCCCTCCCTCTGATATCCATATCTGGACCCCCATTTCTCCGAACTCCTCTCTCTGTAACTGCGTATCTCGGACCCTCACAGCCCGGTCCCCCTTGGAGATCTCCATTCTAAGGCCCCGTCCCCGCCCCCTTCCACAGACCCCCCATTCCGCGCGGGCGAGGCCTCCGCAGCATCCCGGGCGCGGCCGGCCCCGCCCCCGCCGCCCCGCCCCCATCCGCTGCTGAGTCAGCGCCTCCGCAGCCCCCTCCCCGCCCGGGGCCCCGACGTGCGCTCCGCGGCCCCGCCCGGCTCTCAGCCCAGGGAGCCCCGGGAACCCCCGCGAGCCCCGCGGCGGAGGGAAGGCGGAAAGGGAGGCGGCGGCCCCGCCGGGCCCGCGGGCAACTCCCGGTCCTCTGTGCGCAGGAGAAGCGGCGGCTGCAGGAGGAGATCCGCGCCGCGCGCCGGGAGCTGGAAGAGGAGAAACTCCGCGTGGAGCGGCTCAAGGTTGGGGGCGGGCAGGGGCGCCTGCCCAGCCTGGGCAATGAAGTGGGGGAGCCTTTGAGAGTCAGTTTTGGGGGAATCATAGGAGCCTGTGTCCAATTTGGGGTAGCAATTGGGGGCATGGGTTCCAGCTTTGGGGTGGGGCATTTTTCCTCAGCCTGGGAGGGTAGGTGGCGGTGGTGGTGATGGGGACATTTGTACCACCTTTGGGGGCAGATGGTAACAGTGAAGGTGTTTGCCCATCTTGGGTATAGGGAGAGGCCAAAAGCGATTTCACCTCTGGGGGCGCCTGTCCCATGCTGGAAGGGGTGGGGAGATGAGGGGTGTTTTGTTCTAGGCTGGAAGAGCTATGGGCTGGTAGTGGGGGTGTCTGTCCCACCTGGCAATATTGGGGGTGCACAGTGAAGGCATGTATCATATCCCACCCTAAGGAGAAATGTCTGCCCCATTCCGGGTGGTTTTGGGCAATAAGAAATCTTCCCAGCCCTGGGGATTAGGAGGGTACCCGACATGGGGTGGGGTAGTCATTATGCACAGCTACCTTCCCATGCCCAGAGGAAGTCTCTCCGGGAGCGCTGGCTAATGGACGGGGCGGCTGAGGGGACGGAGCGGCTGGAGGACTCCACCTCGAAAGACCCCCAGTCGCCCGAGGGCCAGGCTCAGGCCCGAATCCGGAACTTAGAAGACAGCTTGTTCACGTGAGTCAAGCCCCTGCCAGCCTGGCTAGGCCAGGTCCCCAAGTCCACCCCAAGAAAGCGGCAAAGGGGGGCGGGGGGGGGGAGGGGCATTGAGCCTGGGGTCCTGGCTTCCAGCAGCTCCTCTCTTCCTCAGACTCCAGTCCCAGCTGCAGCTGCTGCAGAGTGCGTCCACAGGTGCCCAGCACAAGCCCTCAGGGAGGCCCACCTGGCGCAGACAGGTGAGGGGCTGGGGAGCCAATGGGTGGGGGGGAGGCAGCCAGCAGGGACAAAAGCACGATTTCTCCAAGAGCAGTTTAACCACTGAGTCCTCTGCTATTGCTCAGCTCTGTGGTCTTGGACAAGTCGCATTCCTTGCTCCAGCCTCAGTTTCTCTATGTCCAAAATGAGAACAGCAGCAGCACAGGGTGGGCAGAGGTGAGGGGGTGGGTCAAGAAGATCATGGCTTCGCACCAGGAACAGGCCCGAGGAAGAATTCTGCCATAGGATTGCTCTTATGGCCAGAAGGAGGAATGTGGTGGGAAAGAGCGGGGGGGGGGGGGGTCAGTGCTCACGGAATGTGGCCTCAGAGTGGGAAGTGGGTCACCATGAGATGCTCTTGTGATCGGAGACATCCACACGGGCTTTTGTTTTAGCAGCACTTTTATTAAGATATGGCCTGCATGCTACGCAACACACAGGCTTTTGACAACCTTACATTAAAATCTGGCTCTCTGGGTTCTCCCCGAAGTCCAAAAATCTGCCAACATTTGTGCCCGGCCATAGGGAAGAGCAGGAGCCACAACCCCTGGTCTCCCTGGTGCCTTAGCTTAGCTCCCAGGTGCCCGTTTCAGGGCACAGAGGGAGAAGCAGACTTGTTTACAGATGTGGGAAGCAGCACTTGTTGGGTTTTAAGCATTGGCTGGGAGTTCCTTGCCAGAGAGGCACAAGGAAGGATTCCTGGCCCATGGGAGCTCACCATCCAAGTCTGTGATGGGGGGAAGCCCTGGGCAGGGGAGGAGCATGGAGGAATCACCTGAGTGAGGTTGGGGGTTCAGGGAAGGCTTCCTGGAGGCAGTGCCATATATATTGAATCTGAGTGGGAACCACGCAAGAGTGGAAAGGGAATTCCAGGCAGAGGAAACAGCCCACATAAAGGCCTGGAGGCTGGAAAGGGAATAAGATCGGAGAACTATGAGGAGATCCCTGGGGCCTGGCTGCCCCTCCACTCCCCTCCCTGAGCCCATTTTCATACTTTTGCACTGTCCCTCCCACCCCCGCCCCACTCCAGCTATGCTGAGCCTCTTTTCTAGTCCTTGAACTTGTGTAGCTCATTGCAGCCCCAGGGCTTTTGCACTTGCTTTCTCTTCTGCTTGGAATGCCCTTATGTACCTCTTGACTCAAGGCTGGCTCCTCCTACCCTTTGGGTCTCTCTCTGTTCAGTGTCACTTCCTCAAGAGCCGCTCTTCCTTCTTATTTTTTTTCTGCCATAGTCTTTCTCACTCCCTGGCATTACATATTTATTTGTGTTTTTGTTTATACCTCACCCCCCCTGGAATGTAAGTCCCCAAAGCAAAAGGCTTAAGTGTCCCTTGTCCATGGCAATCTCAGTAGGTGACAGAGTAGGTCCCTAATACAGAGCTATTGGCTCACAGACACAGTATTGATAAGCACCTACTGTGTGTGAGGCCCTGGACCAGGTGAGGAAGGCTGAGGGTTTGATCCTGAACGTGATGGCGGGGTGGGGGGTGCATTGAGGGTGCTTGAGCAGGGGAGGGTACCCGCATGCAGGGAGGCTGGAGGTGCAGACACGGGCTGGCCTGACCTTCTCTCTGCCATCCCTGCAGGGTCACCGACCTCTCTCCCAGCCTACCGTGGAGGCAGGTCCCACAGGTGGGTGCTTGTACTCCAGGTCTGGGGGTCCCAAGAAGAGGGGCCTGAATCTGGGGGGCCAGAATCTCACTCTGTCATCCCCTGTCTCCTTTCCTCCTCTCACTCCCCAAGACCACACTGATCTGAACAAGAGAGCCTCCCTACCAGCTGGACCAGTGGACACATCTCCAGAGTCCCCCTCAGAAGCCAGAGATGAGGCTGTCAGGGCTCTGTCAGCCCTGAGGCTGTTCCCTGGGGCAGCAGGGGCCTCCTCAGAAGCCAATGGCCCCTGCCCTGGACCCAGCCCCCCTCCAGAGCAGGAGCCTAGTCAGGAGCTGGCAGCATCTAAGGGGGGCATGGACGAGGCCAAAGGGGGTGTGGTGAAGGTGGTATGGGAGGGGTTGAGGGCCACGGAGGACTGTGCCACGGCGGCCACGGGCCCAGAGCTAGAGGCTAAGGTAGAGGAGATGGTGCTGGAGGCCACTGGGGACAGGCAGGAAGCTAGCTGCCCAGAGCTCCCATCCTGGGTGAAGGAGGACAGGGGCATCGTGGAGGTGGTCTGGGAGGGGGTGGGAGGGCCAGACAGTGGAGACTCAGAGGCCACAGGGGAGCTGGGTAGGGGCCTGAAGGTTGCACAGGCCAGCTCACCGAGGCTTCAGGTGAGACTAGAAGGAGCAGCTCCTGGAGAAGGAGGTGTTCCCAGGGGCAGCCCTGACGGTGATGGGCCAGGGGGCTCTGGAGGAGAGGAGGGGTCTTTCATTTGGGTGGAGAGGGTGACCCTCAGCGAGGACTGGGAGGAGCTGGGGGTGGAGGGATTGGAAGGGCCCAGGATGTGGGGAAAGGGGGGAGGACCTGAGAGTCCACTGGGTGCAGAGAGGGGGGCAGGGGAGGAAGCCAGGGAGGCAGGGAGCGGCCAAGCAGAGGAACCAGTGGGCGGAGGAAAGAAGTGGAGTGAGGAGAAGGTAGGGATAGAGGAGGAAGGAGAAGGAGCAGACATGTCTCTGATGGCAGACAGGGAAGGAAGCAAGGACTCCTTGGAAGCAGAGAGGACGGGGGGTGAGGACAAGCTGGGGACAGAAAGGGAAGCAGCTGAGGAACTGCTGTCAGTAGCAAGAGAGGCAGTTGAGGGACCTTTGAGGGCAGAGAGGGAAAGAGGCGAGGAGCCATTGCAAGTAGAGCTGAAAAGTGCAGAAGAGCCAGAGGCAGAGAAGGAAGATGAAGAACCGTTGGGAGTAGAGCAGAAAGGAGATGAGCAAAAGCTAGAGGTGACTGAAGAACCAGGGGCGTTGGAAAGAAAGGAAGGCGAGGAGTCACCGAAGGTAGAGAGAACAGGAGGTGAGGCGCGATTGGAGGCCGAGAAAGGGGGAGGTGAGGCGCCACTGGAGGGTGAGAAAGGAGGAGGTGAGGAGTCACTGAAGGTAGAGAGAACAGGAGGTGAGGCGCCATTGGAGGCTGAGAAAGAAGGCGAGGAGTCACTGGAGGCTGAGAAAGGGGGAGGTGAGGCGCCATTGGAAGCCGAGAAGACCCAAGCGGTCAAGGAAGATCTGAGTCTGGAAGAGCAGAGAGAGTCTGAGGGCGGACAGGAATGTCAGGCAGAGGAGGTGAGTGAGGCAGGGGCTCCCGTGGGGGCCAAGGAAGAGTCAAGGCCAGAAGAGGAAGATCCACAGCCCCAGGAGAAGCAGGAAGGCTCCCTGGAGGAGGGATCTGTAAGGCCCCAAACCCCTGCTGAGGGCCAGGGCCCCTTGGGGGACGCCACCCCCCTCCTGGCAGAGACCCCAGCCCCAGAGCAGCCTGCCGAGTGCCAGCCACTGCTTCGGGCGCAAGGGCCTCGGGCCAACCCCAGTGCCCGGCCTGTGCCCACCTATGCACCTGCCCGGCAGCCAGAGCCGTCTGCCCCTCCCGAGGGCGAAGAGGCAAGCGGTCCTAAGCAAAAGACGTGCCAGTGTTGTGCGGTCATGTGAGCCCACGCCCTCCACCCCACGTCCGGCTCCTCTCACAGCTACCTCGGCCTCTTGGCATCCAGCAGCGGGTCCCCGGCGCAGACAGGGCGCCACCGGGCTGGCTAGGCCACCTGGGAGCCAGCTGGCCCGCACGTCACCTCCTCCCAGGCTTCTGGACGCTTCCCACTGCCTGTGACCCTGGCCTCCTTCTATGACAAAGCCTTTATACTTGAAAATAAAACGTTCAAGCATCCAGATGGTCTGAGCGTGTGTGCTCTTGGCACAGATCCCCCTCACCACCTCCCAGTGGGAGAGCAAGGGCTTCACTCCCACTGTCGTCTGAGAGTCGGTGTGAGCAGACGTGGCTGCCGGACACAGCGCCCCAGCTACGGGAGCGACAAAAACGTACAAGGGTGTTTCTCTGGGTGGCTTGGAGTCACACAGTCACTTGGGAATGGAGGTTCCTTTCCTCTTCATGCTCCGCCTTCTCCGGTACAGTTAAGGCTGGATGGCGGGCACACCGGTGTTCCAGCTCATGGGCAAGGGTAAGTGTGGAAGAGCCCAGACCTTTCTGGGCCTCGTCTGGGCATCAGCCCGTGGCACTCCTGCCCGCAGTCCATCGGCGGGAACTCCATCCGGGGCTGTACATGGCTGCAGGTGGGGCAGCGGGGACGCCCAGCTGCAGTTTCTGTTAACAGCAGCAGACAGATCTGGGGAGGCAGCTGCCACTCAATTTCATACACGTTCCTTTGCTCCCTCCTCCATCCATACACTCCCCAGAGGGCCAGGCCCTCCCTCTGTAGGGGTCCTTCAACCTGTTCTTCCTGGCTGGGTGTCCTCAGGCAAGTGACTCAGCCTCTCTGAGCCTCAGTGTCTTCGTCTGTCAAATGGGCACCCCTCTCCTGGCCTGGGCTGGGTTCAGGCCAGAATTTGGGAACTGGGGGTGGGCCCAGAAGGCCCAGCTCCTCGGGGGTGGGCAGGAAGTGTTTCTCATAGCCAGAGCCCAGCTGGATGGAGGTCTGGGGGGGCTCCATAACCGGGAGCGGCTCCATCTCCTCCACTTTCAGGATGGGCAAGTCCCTGGGGGGCTGAGCCTGAGGCACCTCCTGGGAAGAAAAGAGACAGGGACTCTGCGTCCCCATTCTCCCCGGCCTGCTCCCACCCACTCCCCGCTGACCCCCTCATTCGCCGACCTCCCAGATGGCCCAGACGAGCCAGGCTTTTTCGCTCACCTCCACGTGGGACTGGCCACAATTGCTATTGGCCGGATCAGGAATCTTCTCCCAGACCCAGCGGGGCAGTACCTTGTGCCGAAGGTGGAGGCACCTGGCAAGCAGATAAGAGGGCAGAGAACCTAAGTGACCTGATACCCAGGCCCAGTTTGCAGCACCCAGGAATGTCCGCAGAACCCTGAGGCGTTCCCTTACTGCTTGCCTCCCACCAAAGCTTAGCTAGTATCCAACAGTCCTCCCCACCTGGGCAAAGACCCACATGTCTGACAGCCTCACCTTCTAGACGTGGCCAGGCTCACACCACAGCCGGTCAGGAGCAAGCCCCACAGGAGAAAGACACCCGGCAGAACTTTCCACTTCAGGCTGTTATCTGAGGCAGAGGGGCAGAACATGTGGATACCAGGGATGGGAGAGGGATCAGGAAAGGCGCACACATGAGGCCGGGTTTGGATGAGGGAGGCAGGTAAAGGAGTGTGGCTTATGAGTGGGTAGGGGCTAAGGGTGGGGGAGATCTTGGGGTGGGAGTGGGGCTTGTGAATAAAACAGTCACGGGTGAGAGGGCAAGGTCAGGGATGGGTGAAAGGGCCAGAGACACACTGCTTGATAATCCAAAGTATTTAGTAGGATCTGAATACCCCTGAGGCATCATCAGGAACCACCCCCAAGTCAAAAGGTTGCTCACTCACCGAAACCCCTATCTCCTTGAAACTGAGCAGGGCCCCTCCTATGGCAGTCCCACCCCTCCCCCCCTACCTGGTAGGTGAAGCCGGAGGCTGGGACCTGGTGGCCCCTGTCCTGCGTTGGTGGATGCGGTCACCCACAGCTCACAAGGACCCCAGGGAAGGTCGGGCAGGGTGATGTTCCGGGTGCTCCTGCTCACTGAAGGACACACCCAGAGAGGTTGGGGAGGCAGTCAAGTCCTACCTCAGGGCCTTTGCATGTGCTTCCTCTGTCTGCAACACTCTCCCCAGATATCCACATTGCTCCCGCCTTCAGGTCTTTGCTCAAATTTCACCTCCTCAGTGAGGCCTTCCCTGACCATTAGAAAGTTAACTCCACAAGGGCTGTATTCCCAGCACCTAGATCAGTGGCTGGCACACAGAAAGCCCTCAAAAATGATATATATTCAAACAAATAAAAGAAAGAATGAGCATCATATTCCCCATATGCACATTAACCCAGTGAATGGAGATTCTCCCTAGGTGGGGAGAAGCGCACCTCGCAGAACTATATCTGTTTACTTATTTTTACTAAACGGTGCTTTTTTGCTTTTAAGCCAAAAGAGGAAGTAGCTTTTCGGTTTGTTGTAGGATTATGGGATACATGAACACTGATTGGGCTCTATTGCCATAGAAAGATGTCAAAAAAAAAAAAAAAAAACAACAAAAAAAAGAAAGATGTTCAAGTTAAATCAGCAGGGGAAAAAAAAAAAGTTGCAAAACATCACAGTCATAAGAGATTCCAAGGCCAAACTATAGTATTTAACACTGTCATCTTTTTAAAATAATAATAATCCAGGGGCACCTGGGTGTGATTAAGCATCTGACTTTTGATTTTGGCTCAGGTCATGATCTCAGGGTCCTCAGACTGAGCCCTGCATTGGGCTCCACACTGGGCATGGAACCTGCTTAAGATTCTTTCTTCCTCTCCCTCCTTTCTCCCTCTCTAAAATGATAATGATGGGGCACCTGGGTGGCTCAGAGGGTTAAAGCCTCTGCCTTTGGCTCAGGTCATGATCCCAGGGTCCTGGGATGGAGCCCGACATCGGGCTCTCTGCTCAGCAGGGACCCTGCTTCCCTCCCTCTGCCTGCCTCTCTGCCTACTTGTGATCTCTCTTTGTCAAATAAATAAATAAAATCTTTTAAAAAAATAAAATAATGATAATAATAAATGTATATATATTTAATAATCTAGATATGTATAAACATTTTAATCTAAAAAATTTTTAAATGGGGCAGCTGGGTGGCTCAGTCAGTTAAGCATCAGACTTTGGCTCAGGTCATGATCTCAGGATCCTAGGATTAGGGCCCCGAGGCAGGCAGCAGGGTGTCTGCTTCTCTCCTTCTGTTCCTCTCCCCAACTCATATACACACACACTCTCAAAAAAATAAATAAAATCCTAAAAAAATAGAAAAACAAAAATTTTATTCTAATGATCCATACATACTTTTGTAATATGCAATCATGGAAAAGTAATTATGTTAAAAAATAGGCTTTATCAGAGACAAATGCCAAAGCACTGATGTAATGAGAGGTAAAATGACACTGAAGACTCTAGAAAAAAAAGTGCAGGGGATAAAATGAAAGCAGATTGGCAGGAAGTAGTTTGTTGACATCTGTGGGCACACCAGGGTTTATTATACTAGTCTCCCTACTTTTGTGTGTGCTAGAATTTTCTATAATACAAAGTTAAAAATCTTCAAAGATAGGGCGCCTGGGTGGTTCAGTGTGTTAAAGCCTCTGCCTTTGGCTCAGGTCATGATCTCAGGTTCCTGGGCTCAAACCCCACACTGAGCTTGGCATCGGGCTCTCTACTCAGCAGGGAGCCTGCTTCCCCCTCTCTCTCTACCTGCCTCTCTGCCCACTTGTGATCTCTGTCCGTCAAATTAAAAAAAAAAAAAAAAAATCAAAGAACACAACTCCTATCTCAGTGTTAATAGATACATGGAAAAATCTGGAAGCTGCATTATCAGTGTCAGCAAAATTATGAGAATGCTGGTATTTTTTTTTAAGATTTATATATTTATTTATTTGAGAGAGAGACAGACAGAGCATGGTGCGGGGGGGATCCCAAGTAGGCTTCCTCCCAAGTGGGGAGCCCAACATTGGGCTTGATCCCATGACTCTGAGATCATGACCTGAGCGGAGATCAAGAGTTGGTTGTGCAACCAACTGAGCCACCCAGGTGCCCCGAGAATGCTGATATTCTCAATGACATATTCCTTTAATGTGTCAGCTATGGCAATAAGCACAGATAACTTTTGTAATTAGGAACAAAAAGGGGGAATAACAATATTTCTAAAAAGGAATTTGCATTCGGAGTAAAAATGTAGCCTATACCCAAAGGTATGAAAAAGAAATAAAAATCATACATAATCCTGTGATCCTGTTGACATTGTGGGCAATTTGTTTTCACATTTGTGCCTCTGCTTTGCACAATGCCAGGTTTATTTTACACAAATGGAACCATCTCATGGAGTTTTGTCATCTTTTTATCTTTTTAACTTAATGAACATGACAGGCATCTTTCAATATCAATAAATATAGATCAGAGACTTCATTTTTAATGGTTAAATGACAGTCCATTATATTGATAGCCACAAGGGTTATTGTCCACTAAGGAACAGACACATCACAAATTTTCCCAGGCGCTGAGAGGGAACCAAAGGGGCCAATCGGGGGATGAGGGCGGGGTAGACTGATGGCTGGGTCTTGGGGTCGGGGCTAGGAGCAGGGGGCAAGAGGCAGTGAAGCTCACCATTCATGCAGACAGTAGGCTTGGTCCCGCTCTGAACATACACAGTGTAGTGCGTGAGATGGCCCCGGAGTTGATGTCTTGGGACCTCTCCCCACGCTATGGCGGGGGTCCCTGGAGGGGCATCCTGGAGTCGCCAAAGCACCGGCCCAGCTAGGGGCGCTGGGGAGAAAGCCAGTGGGTTAAGGCCAGCTAGGGTTCCAGGGGGCTCCCCCATTCTCCAGCTCCACCACTTACCCAGTTCCTCTCTGAACCTCCAGACTGAGGGGGCAGGGGCCATGCCCCAAGGAGAGACTGCTGTCACTGTGATTCGGTAGGGGACCCCTCCTTCA